ATATAGCAGACTCTGATACATTAATTTGTTTTCCACTTGCCGTAGAAAATCCTATATTATTCATTGTCACATTTGTTATTCTAATATTACTATTCAATATTTTCTTTTCATCACGCTCATCTTTATCTACATTATAATTTTCTCTTAATACTGTAACATTATCTTTTGATACTTCTTCGAAACGCCTCTTTTTATTATTACTTTTAATATTATGCATATCATTATTTTCAGCGAATTGTGCACAAATTTGATCTACGCTGGCAAAAGAAGCATCAGAGAAAAAATCTTGTGCACTATTACCTTCTAAAAAAATATTTTTCTTCTCTATATCGTCTAATGTATCCATAGCTACAATATCATTTTCTTCACTACCTTGATTATTCAATGCAATATTATCRACGTTTACGTTAGATGAAATATTCTTAAAAATTCTTCTTTTAGTTCTTCGTCTCACTCTTGTATAATTTATCACAGGAGACGTTGAAGTACATTCATCAAAAATATTCTTAATATTTGAATTATTTGGTGTACAATCTTTTAAATAATTATTTTGTTCGATCTAAAATATAATCGATGATAATATTATTACATTATTAAACATGTATTCAATCGATACATACAATAATAAACATGTGTATTAAATTAAATCAAATTAATTACCTTCTCTGATGATTTTGTAGGAAAATTTTTATTCATTTCAGGTGTCTCTAAATCCGATGTCCATTGCTCATTAATCTTTGATATAAATGGTAATAAACCTAATGGTGTACTTGGAATAACTGCTGGTTTTTCAACGCTTGAAGTCCTATTTGAAAAACAAATATATATATATATACATATATATATTTACTTATGCTACATATACTATTTATTAAATAATAAAATATATAAATATTATCTTACTGGAATAATTTATTGGTATCTAATAAAGACGTTTCAGAAATATTCAAAAACGAAGTATCAGCTTTTGAAACATTAGGTGTATGATATATTAAATCATTTTTATTTTCATTCTCATTCTCATTATCTGAAAAACATTACTCATATACAAACATAAATATATATGTATTTATGTTTTAAAATATTATAATGATAAATGAATTAAGTTAACAAATATTACCTGAAAATAATTCACTCGAACTGGCCGTACAGTTAGTGTCTTCTGATACATAGCCATTTGTTGTGTTTTCCCTAATATTTCCTTTACTATTTTTTATAGGAGTAGAATCTTCATAGATAAATTCTTCTGTATTGACATCCATAATCAAATTTATGGTATTGAGATACCATTTATATGTATAATATATTTCATATATTTTATTCACTTGAATTACATAAATCTTTTATACGTGTATATAAAAATTATTAATTAATTATAAATGATTCKAATTATTTTTAAATAATTCGAATGATGACCTAAATTGTGTCATTGAATCCGTTCAATTCTCTCATGAGATCCAACTAAAACCAAACAAAGAATCTCATCATCAATGAATATAAAGTACATATTATGTAGATACAAAAGATACATATCTATATATTATAAACAATATTAATAATAATCAAAAGTATACAATTAAMATATGAGTTGATTCGAGCAAATATTAATATTTTAAACAATTATTTCAAAAGCCAATAATTTATCATTCAAATACCGGAAATCATTGATGTATTTTTGCTTTGATACTATTTAATATTATCAATGAATTATCATATAGATACACAATTTTGTAAATTTATTATTTTACAATATTTCTTTATAATGTAAATATATAATATGTACGTATGTATATATTTAATTTTGTTTTATAATTTAAACAAATTTTATATTAAATAAAAAATACATTTTACAATGTTACCACGTGAGGTTAGGAATATTTAGTTCTTATGGTTAACCTCACTGATTAATATTTATTTTAAACCAAATTGTTATTTATGTTTRCAATTCAAACCGATATTATTCAATTTAGGAATTTAATATAAATGTAATAACATTTGCAAACTCAAATAATAATATTTATTAACCTTACTTAAGAAAAGTAATATAAGAAAAATATGTCACTACTATTTGGACTTCAGCCAYACACACGCAGTGTCGCTACTGTAGACAACTATGTGGGGAACCAGGACGKTGGATAAAGGATATCTAAAGAATTTATATTCACTTTCGGATTTAACCAAAGAGAAAATATCAAATTTATTATTATTATTAATAACAAGTACACTCTTTGATACCATATATAAAACTGATACCTTCCGAACGTTACATTATTCTAGGACTTAATTAGTGTAGCTCCCGTTTAGGGAGAAGAGGCGCTAGAGTATCACGTCAGTACGCTAGAGCGCGTATCCCTACAACTAGACTACTGTAGTTAATGAAATATGTATCCACGTGAAATTTTAATCCATGTCTTTTATTAAAGGGCTAAACGAAGTTTAAACAATTAATAAATATTCTYATAATTATTTAAAATTCTATGTGAAATATAATTTGTGAGATCTACAAAAGATTTCATTGGTTTATTATTTAAATAACTCTGTTTCAAGTGTAATTGTAAGAACTTAATAGATCTATTTATAAGTTGATTTTTACAATAATATTTGTGACAAGCGTCGAATAAAATTAACATGCTTTTGTAATTTTACAGTAGTCCCTCGACTTTCGCACATAATTGATTACGGAAAATATATGTTGATCGTTTGAAAGTAGAGGGACGTTAAAAAATATTCACCAAAAACTGTTTTAAAGTATTTATCTATGTATCTATACAGGGTGATTCTTAAAACGGAAGCGGGAAATAACTTTTTTTTAAGTAACAATAAAAAAAAATGATAAAGGAAAAAATTATATGGCACAACAAATGTCAACTTTTTATGAACTCACTTTTTTTGAAAATGCATCGATGCACCCTCTAGATGCAGTTGCACTTTTTTTGTGAATGGAACTTTATATTTTTTTTTACACTATTCGATTCTTTTTTTTATCCTGCGTTAAAAAGTATTTAATGAAGGTCATCGAAATGTCAATAGTTTACAAGATATTTGATGTCTTATATCAGTAATGTATTTTATTACATTGATTTGAATTCATATTGGAACAATACATTGTTTTACGCTCCTTTAAATCATCGACTGATATAAAAGGACGTGAATRCACATCCATATCGTTATTAGATAGGACATACTTTACATGTGGGGGATGATATTAGAAAAATGCGTTTTTGTCAATTTTTTCGTAGACAAGTACAACGAAGGGAACATTTTGCAGAAGGAATTTTATGGACAGATGAATGCACTTTTACGAATAATGGAATGTTCAATAGACGCAATGATAAACATGGTCTAAAGGAGCGTATTGTTCCAATATCAATTAAAAAATGTAAAGAAAAATGTAAAGAAACGCATTAGAAAATATTTAGAATGCAATGGAGGAACATTCGAACACTTATTGTAATAAAATACATAGCTGATATAAAACTTCAAATATTTCGTAAACTATTGACATTTCGATGACGTTCACTGAATACTTTTTAACGCAGGATAAAAAAAAAGAATTGAATAGTGTAAAAAAAAATACAAGGTTCCATTTAAAAGAAAAGTGCAACTGCATCTAGCGGGTGCATCGATGCATTTTCAAAAAAAGTGAGTTCATAAAAAGTTGACATTTGTTGTGCCATATAACTTTTTCCTTTATGATTTTTTTTTATTGTTACTTAAAAAAAAGGTATTACCCGTCCCCGTTACAAGAATCACCCTGTATGTACTTACTGTATAATTTATACCAGTGGTTCCCAAACTTTTTTGTCCTATCGCCCCCTTTCCAGAAAAAATATTACTTATCGCCTCCCCCCTGAAAATTAATTTTTTGGTTTTCCGTTTTTTTTTGTAGTAACTCAAAAGAGAAAATTCAAAAATTCATCGTCCTCCTTTCCTCCCTGCAAATGCGCCTGTAGCCATCATCATCGCCCCCCTGACTCTCTTCATCGCATCGCCCACTTTGGGAACTACTGATTTATTCTATACCATACTATACTGTATTATTTATATATAAGGTAAATCCAATTATTAATTATTAGACGAATTTTTTTTTATAATATTTCTAATTATATATTTCTATTACGATAAAATAAATATATCAATTTAACAGTTTAGTAATTTTTAAAATAGGTTTATTATTTAATTGCAATTTAATTTCAAATTAAAAATTTAGAAATATTTCTAAAACAATAAAGTATTCTTCTACGATAAAATAAATATATAAAATTTTAAAAGCTTGGTAATTCCTAAAATAGATTTTCTGTTTAATGGGATTCTAAAGCTTTTTTTTACAATCAAATAACAAATTATTTACAATTTATAATATAAAACAAGTTAGAATACTATTGTATGATTTGCTGTATATTTAAATATATTTTATATTTATATTTCATGTAGGAATTTGTACTTTCATTTTGTACAATTCCAAATTAATGAAATAACTTTAAAGACCTTGAAGATATTTAAATGGTTTTATATCACGTACGAACGTGAGGTTTACTTTCAAGATAACTGTGTGTTGGATATCTTAAAACTTTTCTCGTAAAACATATCTATCTTTCGTACGACGACATTAAAGATTTGTTCTTTGTTTGCTAAGGTTTCTCCGAATCTGTCGGCTATTTGATATATTTATAGGTTA